CTTTTCCCCAAAAAAAACTAATATGTATTTATTTTTTTTAAAAGTGTAAAGGTTGGGATATCCAAAGAAGTTATTTCGAGTTTCCCCCAAAAGGAGAAAGGAGCAAGAACCCCCAGGGTTTGAATACATCGGGCTTTGGACAACTCCGGGAAGCAAAAATTTAAAAAAAAAGGGGGGGGGGGGGGGGGGGGGGGGGAAGAGAAAAGTACATCAATGCGAAAGGAGGATATAGAAATCATCGCCATCCATGACATGATAGCATTCGATCAGTAAATCAACAAGGCATCATTAATGTAGCAACATGCTCAAAGGAAATATACGATAGGGAGTATATTAAAAGGGTGTTAAAAGGGAAAATGCACAGGGACAATATCAAAGGGAATAGAATTGCAGGATAGGAACAGACAAGACCGGTGGGCTGGATGCATCCACGTGGAGTTGCGGAGTATGGAGTCTGCTGTCGGGCTGGGGACAAAAGAGCCAAGAACATCGTTTCCAAATGACAAGGTATAGAATACCTCGAAAAGCAGAGCGAGATAGGGGGAATAAAAGCAAATTATAGAAGGATAAGGAGATATTCAAAAGATCACTCTCAGAACACTCAACATGTCAAGGATAAGCTGCGGTTGCCCTGCTTGGTTGACCACAAAGCGAGCTGGAAGCCCATGATTTATCAGTCGCCTTTGCTGAATGTGGAGGACGCTTTAGGAACATTTCAGTAGTGTTGAACATCTTTTAAAAAAGAGAAAAAGACAGCACGTACTAAGCCAAGGTGGTGTTTAAGGGCGGGGAAGCAAATGATTCATGGACATTGAGCTGCATGGAACACATAATCGACATTGAAGCACGTATGAAAGTGATCATAAGAGATGTCGAAATATCTGGCAATGCATACAGGATATGTAGAACCCCTTCCGTTCCACTGCTGCTGTTGCAGTTTTAAGCCTCCATCAAAATATTATCAGTGACCTGCCAACGGATTTAACACACCTCGGATCCAATTGCCCCGCAGTCTTAATCACTCCACTCCGTCCCCAAGTGACAACATTGGGTGTATCGGGATGATTCATGCCGTGTAGGGAGGTCTTGACTACAAAAGAACGAGAGACGATGCTTAGTTCCAGGATATACTAAGTGAAGAACGGCTATGTGCAGACAGCATCGGAGGTTGCATGGACGCGGAGGCAGGGTGCTACACACATATTGGTAGAATATTCTGTCGGGAGGGGGCGGGAGTGTGCGACGGACGTAGCCAAAAAAGAAATCTAAGAAACCAAGAGTAGAAATCGGCAAAATTGATTTGACAGCGAACAACAGTCCAACGAAGTCAGGAGCGGATGTGGTCAGATGACTGAGTGGCCGAAGCTATTTCCGCTAGCTGTGCATAGGGCGACCAGGGGTTCAGGGTTAACCGTAGCAAGTATAATTATGGAATGCCCAGCCGCAGAACGGCAGTTTGAACCGTGTCTCAGAAGACGCTGGATGTTGCTGACAAAACTTTCGAATCCCTTTCAGCCTTTGAGGCTTTCAGCACGGCAACTAAACCCGGAAGGGAAAAATAAAAATAAAATAAAGCTGCGTGGAATGAACCAAAAAAAGGTTTCGAAAAGTAAGAGGCTGCATTCTTCATGTCCAGCATTCAAACCGCTCGAGGCTGGACTAACGAGGGAAAAATCCGTCTCGAATCGTATCTTTGATTATAATAGAGTCCTTGGGGCGGTGCAGCGCAAATCGTATTCAATTATGTGGCAGGCTGGCCGGCGTTTTCTCGGTTGCTCTTTGTTGTGCCCGACTCTGTATATGAATAATAATAGTAGGCGAAATCCGTCTAAAAGAGACAAAAAACCCAGGTCAGGCATGCAGGTCCAGGGATCAAGGAGCATGGCATTTAATTCAAATCGCGATGAAGTGGGGCAGGGAAGGATGCCGGAGAGGATTTCTGAACGGCCAAAAATACGAAAAACGCGGCATGAAATCAATAAAGAAAAAGGGAGGGGAGGGGGGGGGGGTTGGGAGTTGGTTTTTTGATAAATATTTTTTGTTGGACAGTGAATTAAAGAGTTTAAAACGCGAGGAACAGAAAATTGAGGTGTTTTAGGATGCGAGGCGAGCGGACAGGATGCAATTGACAGCCAGCTGTCAACAATGAGTCCCATCTATATATGTGAGACGTTCGTGGTTCGAGACGGGTATGATATGATCAAGGAGGGCCTGAGAGTTGGAAGGATCAATGGCGACGACGACGACGACAACGATGATGATGACAACGACGGTGATGGGAAGCGAGCAAAATGGCCCCGGCGGAGGGAATTACTTGGGGACTGGTGGCAGAGGGCCCTTGGGGGGTGGACCGGGGCAGGGAGGATATTGATTCGAGGAGGGGGTGTAAGAAGGCATTACGAGGATTTGGAGAATGTTGGGCTGTAGAAGCTTGAGAATTTGAGAGACGAGAGAGCTTGAAGGTCGTTGGACTGATTGTATGAGAATGCGATTGGGATGGGAATATTAAGTATGAACTATAGAGTAAGAGAGGAACGGGGGTAGTTTATATGATATATATATACTGAGAGTCGGTCGGAGGAAGAATGTGAATAGCCAAAGCCGGAGTTGGACAGAATAAATGAGAAGATTGGAATCAGAGAAGAGGAGAGGAGATATTTATTACGGCCTGGGATTTGAATCGAAATTTGGGGGGAAGAAGCGAATTCCCAGACAAACTAGGTACCTGGTATTTTATTTCTTTTTCTTGCTTCTTTTTTTTTCTTTTCTTTTTCTTTCTTCTCCTTCTCCTCCTCTTTCTTCTCTTTTTCTTTCTTGCTCTTTTTCTTTTCTTTTCTTTTCTTTTTTCTTTTTTTTAATTTTGTGGTTCCATGTGGTTGAAAAAAAATGAATAATAAATAACTAATACGGGAACTAAGAAACAGGGCATCAATGCCTATTTTCCCTCTTCCGCTCCTTTCTCCTGGCATCGAGTAACTATTTAAGTGACTATTTCAGGGCTGAGCCATTGACAAAGAAGTTCTATATTTGTTTTCTTATTACATGTTACAGAGCACAGTTTAATGTCCATCGCATACCTTGTCACAGCACAGGCTACAGCATTATGAAATGATTAGAAGACCTAATACATATTAACTAAACTAGCATTTTTGGTGTGTGGGGTTTTCGTACCCTTCAGCTCCACCGGTGCTTTCTTTCAGACGTGGCGCATTATCCATTCAATGTTGTATTCTGTAAGAGAGATATTAATTTTATTTTAATTTAATATTAAATTTTAATTTTTTTTTTTTTTTAAAGAAAGATGAGGTGTACAAATGTCTGTAAGACTATAACCTCTGACAAGTATAAATGAAATGGTTTTCTTATGGGAGATGCATATCAAGAACAGATATATAGATATTATTCCTCCAGTAGTGGAAGTAAATTATCTTCAAATCTTCATGTCTTGAAATTGAAGATAAGTTATTGATAAAGCAAATATGTCCTTCTGATCACAATGTGCCAATTACTGTGCAGTTGTTGTATTATGATATTAAGAAAGTTCATTCTCTATTGTCTTTCTGTTACAAATGATGTAATGCTTCCCTTCACTTTTTTGATAACCTCTTAGAATTTGTCAAGAAATGTATGTAGTCAGTAGTTACAGAGTAGTGAATTTTTTCACATTTTGCACTAGTTGTTATTTATTCTTGCAGAAAGCAACAGATCTTAAAATGACTCTGCAGTGGAATTTTGCACTTAATGACAAGGCTGCACAGCATTTAAACCTGACTGATTTAGAGTGCTGG